ATTCCCTGCGCCCCGGGCCGCTGCCGCCTGCGGGGAGGGAAAGAAGGCGGGGGGAGGCACTGCTCCTTCCTGCGGGCAGATAGGGGATACGCGCAATCCCGCGCCTCTCGCAGGCGTCCGAGCGGCGGGGGGGATCCCGCGTCCCGCGACCTCCTCCCCTTGGTAGCGGCGCACACCGGGGGCAGGGCGGCTGCTGGGCGGAGGTCGCTCGGTTCCGTCCCGACTGCGCAGGGCGAAAGCCAGCAAGGCCTGCGGGCTGGCCGAGGAGCCGGGCGGAGGAAGGGACCTGCTAACCAACCCGGGGGAATAACCTGCTTCTGGAAGTAGACAGCATCCTCGGGATGAGCGTCTTTAATTGTGGTTCTCAAACACGTTCCGCATCGCTCAGGATTGTACCTAAAGTCCTGGGGGAATGCTGCAAATTCCGAGACCGATCTCAGATTCTGAGTAGATAAAAGACAAAGGAAAAAGCTGAAGACCTGTTCCCTGATGATCCGAAGAGCTCTGCAGCTCTGGTGACGTTTTAGGCAGAACACTTAAAATTACCTTAATTCGCGACTGAGATTGCACTTGGTACAATGTTATTTCTTCTAGAACGCTGCCATTACTCCTCTAAAGCAAACGCAACAACTGCATTGTTCGAAGGGAAGGTCTCCGACTTGTAACTATTCCCATTATACTACCACTTTTTCATTTTCTAGATTAAGTGGCTATGCTTGTGGGATATAGAAAAACTTGCCACGGTCTGAAGGAAAAGGTTGATTGTATCTTTTTCCTATATGAAGTTGGCAGAACAACCTTTGAATGAGCTTGTATCTTTGTTTATGTTACTTTGACTTAAAGGTCACCTTTTTGCTTCGGTGACTTAGTTGCAGAGTAAGTGTTTTGTTTCCATCACGGAGCAAAAAGATGTTTTACTGATTGATATACGGTGATACCATGGATCTCTGGGTAGAACTAAGGAGTAAATGAGAATGAAGTCTCATGGCATGACTTGCTGCAGTCAAAAGCAGCAGTACTCTGCTCTTCTGACCTCAGTCCTGTCCTCCATTTTACCCAATCAGCAGAAAAAGAATTCTTTTTCTATCAGTCAGTTTTGCCAGGTTAGTTAGCTAAACCAGCGTGGAGGGAAGAGTAAGGTTTGGCAGAAGTTGTGTATTTTTTAGTAGCAGCAAGGATAGCAAAGTAAGATAGAGCTTCAGGTTAGATAGGCTGAAACCTACTCCTAAACTAGATCACTTTATTTCTGGTTTCTGAATAATGGGTTCTTGGAAACCTGAGACTCACCCTGAAGTTGAAAGATAAAACTTTATAGTTTCTTTTTTAATTTCCTTTATTCAGTTACTGCTGCATCTGCTATTGCCAATATTGTGAAGAGTTCTCTTGGGCCAGTTGGTCTGGATAAGATGCTGGTGGATGATATAGGGGTAAGTAAACTTCCTTTAAGAAATGTCCAGAGGACTTGTATTGCTGTGTAAAAGTGCATCCACATAGTGTGCTTCATAGGCTTAATGTGCACGTGCCTTTTTTTTCCATGGTTCTGAGGGGGGGGGGTAGGAGAACTCTGGTAAAATTGACGATCAGGTAATGTGTGCTTCATCGTTTTAGTTTCATCTGTTGTGGTAGTTTACATGGTACAGTTATCTCTTTTCTGTATGTAAGTTCTTGTCACCACTTCGAATATATCGTAAGATTCCAAGAAGTGAGTATCACCATTTAAGTCAGGCTCTGGTCTCCACATCAGGAGAAGTAACCAAAAAACCCCAATTTAAATAATCCCATAACGATTTTAAGGCAATATTTTGTATTTTAAAATATTTCAAGCAACTGAAGAAAGTGTGTCATTTTACAAGCTGTTGTAATCAAATTGTGCATTAGAGGGTACTCATTGCACAACTACTAATAAGGTACGTGCAAAATATGTGATGAGATTCTGTAACATAAAGGCTTTTCTGATAAAAAATGCAGATTCTGCATTTCTGTTGTTAGAGCAGGACTTCTGGTTAAAAAGAAGCAGGAAATTTTTGGTATAAATATTTTATGGATATTTGCAAAGAATAATTATCTTTGTTTGTATGAAACACAACAGTAAAAATGTAATAGAAATTAACATCACACTTCATTTCTGAAAATTAGGATGTGACCATTACTAATGATGGTGCAACCATTCTGAAACTACTAGAAGTGGAACATCCTGCTGCAAAAGTTCTTTGTGAACTGGCAGACCTGCAGGACAAAGAAGTTGGCGATGGGACCACCTCAGTGGTACGTAGAAAGTTCTACAGACAGATACATCAAAAGTTAATGTTTTATTACTATCACAGTGTGGCTTTTCATTTACCTGTTACGAGTGTCGATGCAGTGTTGATTAACAACATAGAATTAAGAACCTTGGGGTTGACTATAAGCAGTTTTTTAAAGTTGGTTGCAGAATAAAGAAAACAGACTTTGTGTTTTTCTAGAGGTGCTAGTTTCCATGAGCACCTGGTGCTCTGGAAGGGAATTTGCTTCCCTCAGTTCCATTATTTATTTTTTCTTTCTTGAAGGTTGATGATAGAGGCTGAATTAACGTTTTTAATTTTTAACAACCACGAGAAATTAAAGTGTTAGGACTAACAAGGATGCTGAGTGTTGAAAACTTGCCTGAGACTTTAGACAGCTTGGTGGAGGGTGGAATCAGGTGGCTTTCACCTGATGTCAGAAACTATTCATAGTTCTAGGTTGCAACAGGTAGTTAATTTGCTTATATGGAATATATTCAATGTTTGTATTTCAAACAGGTAATTATTGCTGCAGAACTTCTCAAAAATGCAGATGAGCTGGTGAAACAGAAAATTCATCCTACCTCCATTATTGGTGGATACCGACTTGCTTGCAAGTAAGAAACTAATACAGTTAAATTTCTGTATTTGTGACTGTATTAATACAGACTTCTTGGTGCCAAGTGGATATGCTGCTTTGTTTGGGGGGGTGTTGGGTTTTTTGTTGGTTTTGGTTTGGGATTTTTTTACTTTTTTATGCAGTCTCATTACTGTCCTAGGAGATTAATTGATTTCATCTCTTTGTTCTTTGAGGTGATATTTAAAAGGACTGAAAATATGTATGTAAGTTTTTTGTCTTTTTGTTGGGATAATTCTTTACCAGTATTTGTCTTTATTCTACAGGGAAGCTGTACGCTACATCAATGAAAATCTTGTTATTAACACAGATGAATTGGGCAGGGACTGCCTAATTAATGCTGCTAAAACATCAATGTCCTCAAAAATTATAGGAGTGTATCCTTTAACTTGATCAAGTGAGTTAAGTGAGAGGAGTTGATTGGAGAGCTTGAGGAGCTAGGCTAGTTTCTTCTGCAGCAGTTTCTATGAACAGGGTATAATATTTAAGCTGTTGTTTTTATAAAAGGAGTGTGAAAAATGTTTCACAGATAATATTACCTGGCATGGGAAAACATGTTCAAACTCTTCCAATTTATTTAAATCTTGATTGGCACTGGTAATAGCTTTAACAGCACATTGTTTCCTAACATTTGCATTGCTTGTTAGCGAGACTGGATAAAGAGTTGTGTGAATGGAAGAATGTGTTACAGAAGTACCTGGCAGTGAATCTAGAAGAAAAAAACTTGCATTTCATTCCATAGTCACAGAAAACCTAGCATTTTTAGCTTTTGTGAAGACTGAACATAGGATAGGTTTTTTCTTAAAGAACGAAAAGTGCATAAAACATAGACTTAACAGTGGCCTGTCACGGTTTTCATAATTACTCATTCCTTTAAGGCAATAGAAAAGAGAGCTAGCACTTTGCCTTTCTGAAGTTCTTTTTTGGAAACTTAATTTGGGCACTGTTAGTTAGTTACATGTTTGTTTTGGTTTTTTTTTCTTAAGCGTAATACTAGTTTTCTTCTTCAGTCTTAACCTTAACAGCATTTTAGTGATGGTGATTTCTTTGCTAATATGGTGGTGGATGCTGCCCTAGCAGTTAAATACACAGACCAGAAGGGTCAGGCTCGGTATCCAATCAACTCGGTTAATGTTTTGAAGGCCCATGGCCGCAGCCAAAAAGAAAGCATTCTTGTGAACGGTTATGCTCTGAACTGCGTCGTGGGCTCACAGGGTAAGAACATGCTCTGTTTCATGAATGTTTTCTGTGAACTCAGTCCTCTTTGTCTTTCTGTGTGGCTGTTCTTACTGAGTGCATTAGTCGCAAGTGAATTCCAGAACAACTAACCAAGAACACAAAATACTGCACTTCAGCAGTGGTTTTTAAACTAGAGTCTACCAGCTAGCAGTGATCCACAAAGTGTTGGTACACTGCTGTAGTTTCCCTAGCTCAGTGTCAGCACGGTAACACTGTGATTTGATGGAACTTTAACATCTCCCTTGTGAAGAACCAGTGCCAGGTTTGTGGGGAACTGTTACATTTAGCAGAACTGCAGCGAGGTAACTTAAAAGGATGCAAGACCATAGGTCAGATTTTCGTGGTCATTTGCATTTTGGGGACAGGGTATGTAAAACGGTAACAGGTTACGGGAGCATCTTTATAAGCATTTTTCTACACTGTGGCAGAACTGGAGGTGGAGAAGCAAACAGTAGAAATATGAAATGTGAAAATCTACTTTTAATCTCTAATGCTGACTTGATGTTCTGTTAACCTGATTGGACAAAAACCCTTTTTCTGTCTTGTTTTTCCTTGCCAGGTATGACCAAGAGAATAGTTAATGCAAAGATTGCATGCCTTGACTTCAGCCTGCAGAAAGCAAAAATGAAGCTTGGTGTTCAGGTTGTTATCTCAGACCCTGAGAAGCTGGACCAGATAAGGCAGAGGTGTGTGGAAGGTTGAGTAACTGAGACAGTGGGGTTTCACAGGCTTGATTTGGTCTCTCCAGTTGAGGTGGCTCGATGTAATTTTGTCTGAGTGCAAGAGGTAAAAATATTTTGAATATTTAAATTTCCCAACAGTACGAAATGCTAATGGTAGAAGTTTTCGCTTCTGGAGGCAGAACTAGTTTTAAGTCAGTTTTTGAGAAATCCAGGTGTGTTTGTGCAGTGGTCCATTCTTGCAGAGCTCTGCATTAAGTTTCCAGGAAATGGGTTGACATGTAGATGGTAGATTTTTAAATACATTTTTATAACTATATCTTTGTAGAGAGTCAGATATTACCAAAGAAAGGATCCAGAAGATTTTGGCCACTGGTGCCAATGTTATTCTCACCACTGGAGGTATTGATGATATGTGTCTGAAATACTTTGTTGATGCTGGGGCTATGGCAGTACGAAGAGTTGTAAAAAAGGACCTTAAGCGGATTGCTAAGGCATCTGGAGGTATGTGTGTATAAAAATAACTTTTTTTTTTAATGTATTATTTAAAGTAAAAGCTGTTGTCATATTAGTTACTAATTTAAAAAATACGGCTTCTTAACATGCAAGGTCAGGATGAGTAAAGCTGAGCCATGTGTTTTTAACTCTACTGTTGCTTTTAAGTGATTTCTGTCAAAGTCAATGACTACTGTAAGGGTTGATTGCTGAAGATTTACAGTGGGGGAAGAAAATAACTGCCTTGCACTGTGAAGACTGGCCTCTTGTGGAAATGGGAGCCATAATCTCTATTTATTTAGAAGTTTTCTATTATACATGCATTCATAAGCCTCTGTTTAGACAGTTAAGTATGTTGTTTAGATAGTTCAAGACGAATGAAGAACTCCTAAATCACTGAATACGTGCTTAAAAAAATTCTGGTCCTATACGGATTTTATCTGTCAGTTCTAAAATTTGGAAGAAAACATTTTCATTGTGGTAAAGCATGGAAGCTTGTCCTAGCTGTGGAAAAGTAAATGCTGTAAAAGCTGAGCAAAAGGAACAGTATCAGTTATAAACTGTGGAATATTAAATTGCTGCCTGAGAATTAGAAGTGCTGTTTAGTTTAAGAAAAACCTACTTACGCAGCTTTTATTTCTGTTTTCAGTTTAGTTTATGTTTTTCTTTCCATATGTCTGTTCTGGTAAGTTGGCAGGGGATAACGTGCTGGAATTAAATGCTAACTTCACTTTTTTTG